TTTTTTTTTAAATATTTATTATTTATTATGTATACAATATTCTTTCTCTGTGTATGCTTGCAGGCCAGAAGAGGGCACCAGACCTCATTCCAGATGGTTGTGAGCCACCATGTGGTTGCTGGGAATTGAACTCAGGACCTTTGGAAGAGCAGGCAATGCTCTTAACCGCTGAGCCATCTCTCCAGCCCTGTTGTTGATTTTTAAAACAGGGTTTCTCTCTGTAAAAGCTCTGGCTGTCCTGGGAACTTGCTTCGTAGACTAGGCTGGCCTTGAACTCCCAGGGCAGATCTCAGTGAGTTTGAGGCCAGCCTGGTCTACATGCTGAGTTCTAGGACAAGCAGAGCTACATAATGAGACCCTGTCTCAAAAATCACAGACACATAATAGGGTTGTGGGGAGGTAATACTGGCCTATATCTGTGGTTCTCAACCATCCTAATGAGTCAGGAAAAGTCCACCCTATACACTTTCTGGGAAGAGGAGGAATCTTCCAAACAAGACAGAAGTAAGCAAGCAAGCGGGCTGAGCAAGGCAAGGGGAGCGAGCTGGTAGACAGCATTCCCCCATGCCTCTGCTTCAGTTCCTGCTTCCAGGCTCCTGCACTGAGTTCCTGCCTCGACTTCCCTCAGCATTGAATGGTGATGTGAAGGCATAAGCCAAACAAACCCTTTGCTGTCCAGCTATCTTTTGGTCATGGTGTTTGATCGCAGGAAGATTACAAGCTGGCGTGGAAGCCAGTCTGGGTGAGAGACCCTATCTCAAAACAAAAGAGAAAAAGAAGGAAGGAAGCTGGTTCCAGGAGCTGCTTTCTGACCTGTGCTTGGTTGAGAGGACCCAGGAGAGGCTAGCCTCTCCAAGGCCACTGGTAACGGGCTCTTTTGACTTGAGCTCCAATTACAAAAGGAATTTTTACATCCAGGAGTGCCAAGTTTTTTCTCCCACAGAATGCGGTAGAGCCAACATAGGCCCAAGAATGTCATGTGTGGAAGGCTGGAGTCCTGCCCGCCTCTTTCACATGGTCTCAGCTCCCGAGCCCAGCCTGTGAGGCCGGAGCCAAGTGTACTCTGGACAGAGCAGGCAGCTTCTACACGATCTGGCCTGTTGGGGTCCAGGCTAAGAATCGGGAAGGTGTGCCTGACCCTCGGCAGCCCATGTTTTCTGGGTCTGTCTGCAGGAGTTTTGCTTTGTCCCATGACACATTTTCTAAAAGACAGAGTTCAGGATAAAGTAAAGGCCTCACTCCCATACAGACTAGCTAGTCACAAGAATCAAAGGATTTGGGTGGGGACAAACCGCAGGACTCCAGACTTCTGAGCTTAAAGGCAGCACAATGTACTTCTCAATTTTATTACTAAAGCGAGAAAAACACAAGGTGACCTTTACAGTCAGCTTAAGCAAAATTATGCACCGGGCGCTTTACCTTATCATCTTTGGTCCTGTGGTGAAAAGAGCCAGGAATATTTCCCCAGGCCTTTGTCTTTACTACAGAGATACTGTGGAGTGCCAGGGCATTCCTTCACGTCCTTGCTTTCGGCTATATTCACTTCTTTTTTCTAGAAGGCCACCTTGTGTGAAGAACATTCTGTACTCTGCCCCATCCATAGTACACAGTAAGTTCTCACCTGGGGTGACGGGAAAGTGGGGGATGCGCTAACTGTCTGGAGTGCATGCTCCCCATGAAGGTGGGATGAAGCTCACATGGATACAAGCTTTCTTCACAAGGAAGGGAGGAAGGAGATTAATTGTGTAACAAGCAGGACGTAAGTTAGAAGTTTATCAGTCTACCAGTTACCCATGACCTAGAATTGCAAAATGACTCAGATACACAGAATAGGGCTGGACTCCAAAGAGCCAGAGAGTGAGCCAAAGAGGAAGGACATTTTGCACTGAAGCAAGGCCTCTTCTGCACGGGAGCGGAGGGTTCCTGTACCTCCCATATAGGGATAGGCTCATTGACTCTGTGTTTGAGGACACACCCTTAGATCAGGCCCGTAGTTGCCACTGGTAGAGCCTCCAGAACTCAGGGAGCTCTTAGTGGCACCTGGAAATATTAGGACATTCCTTATGGAGGACATTCTTTGGCTAGAGCTACAGTGGCTAGCAGCACAAAGTGCTGGCTTCCCCATAAACATTCACGGAAGGCACTGCAATCATATAAATCTCTTGCAGCAGGACATTTGTTGCCCCTGCAAGCCTGCCTCTCACAGGCAAATTCCTCTGTAAATTACCAGCCAAAAGACAAGGTGGGCTGGGTGTATCACTCAGCTGGTGGGGTGCTTGTCTGGCAAGCACAGAGCCCTGGCTCCAATCCCCAGATCTCCCAAAATACAGCATGGTGGCACAGACCTGTAATCTGAGCACTTCGGGATGGAGAGTGAGAAGTTCGGGGGTTGTCCTTTGCTACTTCGGGAACTTGAGGCCAGCCTAGGCTAGTGACCCTGTCTTTAAAAATAAAAACAAGTCACTTGTGATTTCGAATGCCAGTGGGATTTGCTGAAGGAGGCAAAGACAGGAGTTTGAGGCCAGCCTGGGCTACTTGTTTAGCTGGGCAGTTGTGGCACACCTTTAATCCCAGCATTCTGGAGGCAGGGGCAGGCAGATCTCCGTGAGTCTGAGGCCAGCCTACTCTACAGAGTGAGTTACAGGACAGCCAGGGCCATACAGAGAAACTCTGTCTTGAAAAGTGTGTGTGTGTGTGTGTGTGTGTGAGAGAGAGAGAGAGAGAGAGAGAGAGAGAGAGAGAGAGAGAGAGAGGAAAAAACTCAGAGGATTCCTGTTGTAGGTGTGATATGCAAATTTCAAGGGCTTCTTCAGCCCAGCCAAGAGCTCATCCCTACATCCCTCATCCCTCCAAGGGCTCCCTCATCCCTCCAAGGGCTCCCTCATCCTTCCAAGGGCTCCATCAGCCCCTCCAAGGGCTTCCCATGTCTCATTTCTCACAGGCACCTCTCTGGGGTCTTCCTTTACTAGATATAAGTCTGTGCGTTCTGACTTTGTTGAGCCAGCTAGGACATCTGTCTCCTCTGTCATGACAAACACAAAACATGTTTATTTTTACACCTGCCTGGAGAAACCTTTTGTGGGAAACAGTCTTTTAGCAGCAGAACTCAGTATCACGTCCCCCCTGGAGTCAGACAGGTCAGTAAACCATGTCGGAATGTGAGCTTCCTGACTTCATAATATTTAAGAATATGTATAGATCAGAAGTCAGATCACACAATGAAGTTGTCCAAAAGAAATGGGGAAAAAGAAGATTAGCAAGCTGAAGGCACAAACAGGATTGCAAAAGCAATGTCTACAAGACAGGGCTCGGGATGCATTTGATTTTGTAGATAGTTGCTATTTAACAGGGAGGCCTTGGCAGTTTGCCAGGTCAAACGTTGCAGAAACTCCACTGCTCTTGATTTTGAGTCCTGCCCTAGGGAAGGCAGAGCCAACTCTTAACCTTAGGTGATTCCGCTGTCCCTTTTCCAAGTACTTAGCTTTCCTGACCGTGCCAGCGGTTTGCAAAAGGTCTACTGTTTGGATGGCAGTAGAAAGAAAGTTAAGGTAAGAGGCACGTAGCAACCTCTTTAAACATGCCAATCAGCCCTGCCTTTGGCCTGTTCTCTGACTGCTGCAGGCCCGGCAGGCTGTCCCGGGCGTGTAAGCGTGCACAGGGCTCCTTTCTGACTCTCCTGTTTTAAATGGGCTCTGAAAACAACAGGTGGCCTTTTCTATCAACAAGTGGATATAAACTGCATCAGCCAGTCTCTGCAGCCTGGGCCAGACCCAGTGGCCATGCAGTGTAAAACCGCACTGTCTGTCCTGGCAAGACTGACCCGCCATCTAGGATGTCGGATTCTCATATGACAGCACCTCTTTGCAGCACAGAAGATCTTCCAGACGTGGGTACTGATTTTGATGCAAAGGTGCTGTTTGTTCACGGTTCCATCTTCACAAAAACCATACAATCAAAAGACCCAGCCTAAAAATAGTATTTAAGGGGAGGGAGAAAGTTTCCTTGGGAACACAAGTTGGTCTACAGGCTCTCAGCTGTTTTAAAAGCTAACATCTGAACACCTACATGAAAGTATACTCAGAAGTAAAGGGTGGCTGCCTAGGTCTGAATCAGGGTGTGGCCCCTGCCTTTTTGCAAGGACAAATATACAGTCATGAGAGTTCACTTTGGAAAGCGGACTTGGAAAGTGCCTCACCTCTACACCAGCAAAAGCCCTTTGCTTTAATGCAAACCCACGCACAAGGTCCAGCAGGCTTGTTGGTCCCCAGCGACCTGCACCTACCTTGTCTAGTGGTGAAGAGAGAGGCAGGCAGCGGGAGACAGACACCCTGGAGCTAATTGCGAGGGGAGGGACGTGCAGAGGGAGGGAGGAGCCTCGTCCAGCACGGGAAGTGGACGCGGTGACGGGCGGCCCGGTGACCTGTATTCCGGGGGAAAGTCTGAGCCAAGGGAGCTGGGGGAGGAGGAAGAGGAAGGGGAGACCTGAAATCGGAGGGGGGGGGGGGGGGGGGGGGGGGGGGGGGGGGGGGGGGGGGGGGGGGGGGGGGGGGGGGGGGGGGGGGGGGTCTGCAGACCGCGAAGGGGCTTGCTCTGGGATGGAGGCAAGAGGGCGGGGTGGGAAAAGAGGTGTTAGGAGGAAAGCAAGGGCCTGAGGAGACGGAGGAGAGCCTGGGATGCTGCCCGGTGCCTGTCTGCTGGGACCTGCGCTTCTCGGTTGTCAATCACAATCAGGCTATGTCAAGGAATAAGCTACTATATTTGTGTACTTAACCCCCACGTCCACGTTCTCTTCCTGTGACTCGGGTCACTGTCTAAGGAGGAAGGAAAGTAGTTAAAGAAAACCCCGAGAAAAGAAGATGGAGTGGGTAGCGGCTTCCTGTTGCCCCAACCTTCCCCCAACATCCCCAAGCAAAGGCAACGAAACCGTGTTAATTTTCTTGTGCGCGGCGAAGATGGCACGCTGGCTCGTGACCTTGCTCTGGGCAGCCCCGTCTTTAAGACAAACAAAAAGAGCCCCGAGAGCAGGTGTGTCTCTGCTGAGAGAGGTGACTCAGCAGAGATCCCTGAGCTCCGTTCAACACCTCAGGTGGGACAGGATTGTTCCTCTGTTAAGAACTGTCAAAAGCCAGCACAGTGGAGGGGAGGGTGCCCTTCCTCAGTTTTCCACTAAATCAAATTTTTTTCTCCTCAGAAAGTGTGTGTGTGTGTGTGTGTGTGTGTGTGTGTGTGAGGGAGGGAGATTTACTTGGGTTTGTTTGTTTTGTTTTCATTTTTTAACTTTGTGTACGGGTATTTTGCCTGCACGTGTGTCTGTGTGCCTGGTGCCCCTAGAGGCCAGAAGAGTGCAGTGGACCACCGGGACTGGAGTACTAGACAGTTGTGAGCCCTTGTGTGAGTGCTCAGAACCAATCCTGTGTTCTCTGGAAGAACCACGAGGGCTCTTGACTGCTGAGCCATTTTTTCCAGCCTCTGTTTGTTCGTTTTTTTCTGAGACAGTCTCCCTGGTTGTCCTTGAATTTGCCATGAAGCCTTTTCTGGCCTTGAACTCTTGATATTCCTGTGGCGTGGCAGCCTCCCAAGTGCTGGACCAGGTGTGTGTGTTACCACACAAACTATATGACTTTTCCCTCTTCTCTTTTCTTTAAAATCTCTCTCTCTCTCTCTCTCTCTCTCTCTCTCTCTCTCTCTCTCTCTCTCTCCCCCTC